CTTTGTCGAGATAAATAATAAGTTACTATAATTGTTGAGTATCGTTATTTAAACAATGTGATGCTTCTATAGTATTTTCAAACTTCGAAACATTTTCGAAAAATAATATTTTATATTTGTAATAAGAAGCAAAAATATTCAGTAATTATCATAATTATTATAAATAAAGTTAGAAAAAAATAAAGATTACGCAAGGGTAATCTGTAGATATAAAATATTTTGGTGCAATATCACCTAAAAAACTGTTACATTTTTAAAAGATGAAACAAACATCATTATCTATCAGTCCAATTCTATTTATGTAACAACGATATGAAGCCTGTTGAAAAGCAATAAATATTCAGTTTGATGACGAGTTGAGATAATATTTGACATTTTAACATTAAGAATCACTTGAAATATAGCTGTTTATGAGATTATGGAATTTTAAAGATAAATTTGTTTCCGAAAAATTTAAACTTTAATGTATTATGTATCAAATAGCGCTTATGTAAAAAATACCGAAAATACCGGTATTTTTTTAATAAATACCGGTAAAATTACCGCCGAAAAATCGCACGGTTTACCGGTAATTCGGTATACCGGAATTGCATTCCCTAAATAAAATCAACCATTTATTACTTAAAGCCCAAATTAATGATCATTGATTAATGATGATTCTTGAGACAGCCCAGGGGCCGCCCGGGCCGTATGTTTGACATATCTGACCTAGTTAGTCATGTTGACATAATTTTGACATCTCTCAAAGTGACAGCAGTTGTGCAATGTAAATAATTTTAGTATTGAAATTTATGAAAAAGACATCAGAGTGGCTTTTAAATAATATCTGAAAGATTTACGAAGTAAAAAGGTATTTATTTAGTAAAATTAATAAATACTGCAGCTAAAACAGTTCTGATTAGAAACCTAATGTAAAAGTTATCCTAACCTTTCTCTGGCAAATGATTTAACATTTGTGCATATACTTTACTTTCTTTTATTAACTCAATAGAGACTAATAAATAATAATTATTATTAAAGCAATAATCTTTTGTTTGTATTATTGTAGCGTGAGAACGATTAAACATGTATAAAAATCTTATTTTTAGTCAGCATGGACAGGGCATACTATTTTGTCGACAAGGTACTACTAATTAAATGCAATATTACCAATGATTAAAAAGGTTGATGGTGTTGCAAACACAGTTACTGTAAATAAAGAAAATAAAAAGATTCAAAACCTTTGAAGTGTCTACAATAAGGAGGGGAACAAGGTATTAAATAATTTTAATAACTCCACATTATAAGAAAAATACTTACAATTGATTTAATATGGTTGCATCAATATCATTAAAACAGTATATTATTGCAGAGAGAAATGTCTATGTCTGCACAGACAATGTTTACAACCACAGAGCTGTGATATTTCTACATGTATTGTTGTGAAAATGGTTAAACAATTAAATGATTAAACATGTATAAAATGCATCCCTGTTAATGATCAGTTATACCATAATAAAAATCAGCAAACCTTCGAAGCGTCTACAATAAGGAGGTGAACAAGGTATTAAATCATTTTATTAATTCCACATCATAAAAAAAAATCTTGACAATCTTTTTAATATGGTTTTTGCAAGTGTTGCATTAATATCAATCTAACAATATGTTATTACAGATAGAAATGTCTATGTCTGCACAGGCATTGTCTACAAGCCACAGCTGTAATACTTAAACATGCTGTGATATTTCAGCATGTATTGACGTGATAACAGTTAAACCATTAAATAGTTAAACATGTATAAAGAGCATCCTGGTTTATGGTCAGTCACAGGTGTTAAGGTGTACCATAATAAAAATCAGCAAACCTTTGAAGTGTCTATGATAAGGAGGTGAACAAGGTATTAAATCATTTTATTAACACTTTGCCGTCCGCACGTCTTGTAAAAATTTATTCGCTTGGCGCCGGTAGTGCTAATTCGTTATCACTTTGCTTTTCCCCGCCCATTCTAAATATTATCGAAAAATTACAAATTTTTAGTTCTTACTAATGTTGAGGGGTGTAACTTTTTGTTATCTAAATTAAAACACCAACAGGATGGAAAGATTTCTGCCACTGGCCAAAGGAAGATACTGTGCTCACGACACCACTGTGGTGTCGCCGGCTGTTAAGCGCTAGTTTGCGCTCGACACCACTGTTGTGTCGCCGGACGGCATAGTGTTAACTCCATATTATAAATAAAATATGAACAATCTGTTTAATATAACTGATTGTGAGAGTTGCATTGATATCAATCTAACAGTATGTTATTCCAGATAGAAATGTCTATGTCTGCACAGAGAATGTCTACAAGCCACAGTTGTAATATTTCAATGAAATGCTTAAATGGTTAAACATGTACCTAGACCAGCTTTGTTTGTGTTCATTTACGGACAAGGCGTACCATAAGGAGGTGAATCACTGTAAATAAAGAAAACCTTTGAATCTTTTAAAGAGTATTATGGGTATTATGGGTGATTACTTTATTTATTATTAAGATAAAATGGTAAAGTGTAATGTGCCAAATTGTGAAAATAATATAAATATACATGTCTTTCTGGCATCTAATTGTATGTATATGATGATGTATTATGCATATAATGAATATGTATTATGAAAATGGTCTAGATATTTTGAATTTGGAAGCAGAAGGCGAAAAATCCTTTATTGGATGACCTAACTATTTGGTTTGAGGCACAAATCGAAGATAATTTGAAAACAAAACCAATTAGAAGTGTCTCCTTTATGGCAATAACAGAATAGTTTACAAGTCACTGGAGAATGCTCTGATATAGGACCAGGACAACACTCCAAGGACAAGGCCAAGTAATTATAACTCTAAATACTTCAATACAATTTGCAAAAAAATATTAATAAACGAATCTTATGTTTTTAGTTAGGAGATAAAAGCCTAAAAACCTTGAAAAAGATTTTTGCAGTACCCCTAAGATTGTCAAGTGCAGGCTAAAAGTCGCCTATTCTGACACCAGTTTTTCACAAAGGTATTTTTTCATAATAATTGCAGCAAAAATAATTGATTAATCAAATATGATATAACAATATGTTCAATAGAAATGCTTGGTGGTAGCTGCAAATTGCTGCAGAATGCAGTAATAAGGTATAGGAGTGCATTAATAATTTGCACCAAAAATTATGTCATGAACCCATAGATAAAAGAAGAGTTTACGTTTACGTTTACAATAAGGAGGTGGAGAAATAGGTATTAGGTAAGTTTATTAACTCCACATTATAAGAAAAATATTAACAAATCGCGAGGGTTGCATTGATTTCAATTTAACAATATGTTATTATAGAGAGAAACTTCTATATCTGCACAGACAATGACTTCTGTAGTATTTCAACATGCTCAAATTTCTAGATGAAGAATCTTTTTAACAATTACCTATTTCCACATAATAAATAACATTTCTATAACAATTATGATAACGAATGTTAAAAGCAATATGGAAAATATAACTGATCTTCAATTTTTTTTTTTGGTTATGTTTTCCATATTACTTGTAACATTCATTATCATCATTGTTTTAGAAATATGTTATTATTTATTATTTTATCTTATAATTTTGTTATTGTAGCACTGAAGATGGATCAAACCAAGACTCGAAACTTATGCTATTCTAATAAAGACTTTCTTCATTCAATTCTTTTTATTATTGGTTGGATGCCCAAAAATATTATCATATATCTTTTACCATCTGAAAAAACCTCATGCTTTGAATATATATATATATATATATATATATATATATATATATATAAACTAAAATAGTATGCTATAAATAAAGTAATATATTATATAATCATTATTATATTTTCCAACAGGTTAATGACTTTCTGAGATGTCTACACCTCTTCATTCCGATGTAAGGAAACAAAGCATGATAAAGTACCGAATAAAATGAATACATACTTTGATTTTAAATGAGTGAAGAGCGGAAGGAAAGGTCGTGATAATAAAAATGATAGGAATGCAATAATTAGAAAACTTCTATGCAGATTTCATGCAGAGAGAACTAGCAATTAAATTAATGTAGTATGTAATCTTTTATGGTAATACTATTTCTCTCTAAAAATTATAATGAATTTATCATTAAATGATATTTTGCATTTGAGTTGTTCTCATTTCAAATATTGTTTTATACCACAGAATGTCTTATGTACTTGCAGGGTACTATATATATGTTGAGTTTTTATTTAATGTTTTAGGGAAATTTATCAAACAAAAAGTTGTAGAAGTTTATAAAATCTTTATTAAATAGCCAAATGTTTCAATATTATTTTATATCATTTTCAGTAGAATTTAAAAAAGCTTTCAAATACTCCAGTTATTCACTAAATATATTATTTTTTGTAGTTAATGAATAATTTATGTAGTGAATAATTGGAGTATTGGAAAGCAAAATTCCTCAAATTCTAAAGTGGATGATATAAAATAATATATCGACATGTTTGGCTGTTTAATGATTTTATAAACTTCCACAATTTTTTGTTTGATGTACTGCCTTGAAAATTTTGCCACATTATATATATATATATATATATATATACATATATATATATATATATATATACATATTTGAAGAAATGTATGACGGTGACATATTGTTCAGTCAGGCTCCAATTCCAAAGTCCAATTCAATATAAAATTTTTTGTATATAGTGTTTTGGGCTACTCTCCTTTTGGGGGCACAAACTTTTGTGCATTATAATTCAACATTGCTATCCCTAAAACTTGAGATCTTAAGCATAAACCCTAAGCATTCTTTTCTTGCCTTCTAAAAACACCTGTAATTACCAGTGGGGGATAGTAGCAGTACAAATGAAATAGGGATTACCATTGTAAATAAGCCTATTTAATAAATAATTTATCTATTTACAACTATTTGTGGAACATGATTGCACTTGCATACAGCCACGTTCTTTAACTAATATTTGTTATTCTTTTTTTTACACTATTATATGGGGGAATATCTACAGCTAATAATAAGAAATCTGACCTTCAAACTGGACTTGTCTTCTTGTAAATGGTATTCTACACTCACAATTACAACTAAACTATGGGTCCCACCAGGTTGTCATTCGTAGGACACGTTGGACCTCTAAAGCGGACTCTGAAAGACTGACTCACTGACTTCCTGGACCTCAAGAACTTGTATCAAGTGGAAATAAGTAGAGGGTGGGGGCGGTGCAGCCTGGATTTTGAAACCTTTTAAGCAACGATACAAATTGCCACTATAATACTGAAATAAGTAAATACACTATAGTGTACACCATGTTAAGATTTGGACCAAAATTGTTGAGATATTTAACATAAAATGATTAAAGCTGACAACATTGTATGCTCATTTATAGGGACTTTGATGTTTTGTTACAAATTTCCAGAGTATTCAACAAAATTTATAATTCATAATTGTTTTTTTTTTTGTTTGTCTTTTGAACAGCAATCTCCATTGGTAGTCCTTCTCTAATTGCCCGCTATTTTTACTTGCAAACTATTGATATATATTATCCAGTGAAAATAGACATCATCACTGTTTCCTTTCAGGTTACACACAACCTGGGATTCAACATTGAAACCTTATGGTAGCAACCTAAAATTGAAAATTAGCATAATAAAATAAAATCTTGACAATAATATTTATTTTCATGAAAGAGTTTGACATGAGAGCTATAACATACAAGCAAAGTCCAAATTTCTATGGTTATAAATAGGTCTTAATAAATAAACAATGAAGTAGAGTATCAAGTCAATAACAAGATTCTTTCAGTCGAATTATATATTTATTTGCTTACAATTCACTGCAATGCTTGTCATTACCATCGAGTTTGAATTTTTATCACGTTTGAACTTTGCATAAAAAAACTAGGAAACAAAATGGTCATTTTACCGATTTCTCATTTAATGATTTACCACCTTACAAATTTGTGCAGATTTAATATTAATAAATTAGAACGTACTATGAATATTGTATAATAAATGTATTTACAATGCAGTGAAGTGTATTCTAAGATATTAATATAAAATGATTGAATTATGAATCCGGCGTTGTATAATATTTTGCTATAATTAAGTTTAATTTATGTCCTATAATTTTTTATGAATTCGAAATTTTGAAAAAAGATTCAGTGAAAAGTAATTCTTATTATTAAAATATGTGATTTAGTAGATTATAAATATGTTCAGAACATTGTATTTTCTATAATAAAATCGTATCATATTAGAAAATTAGATTATGCTAGTTGCAAAATGATTGTAAAGATCAATGAAATCAAATGCATTACAAACTAGTTTCTATCAGACGCAAATGGATTTTAAGTACTTTAACATGCAGTTATATATATACATATTACAATTGTTTTTTGGTACTTATAAGCAACTTGTCATGAATGAGGTAATTCAATAGTTGAAATTTCTATCTCTATTGAACATAGTTTTATATTCCATGAGATACGAATTCACTTGACTAAATTGCAACAATACAAATAATAATTTCAAAAAAGTTTAAGAGGAATTAATATTACAGTCTATACAAAAACAATTATTACTATATCAAAGAGATATATAAATTGTGTAAAATCGTTGAAAATTAATACATACTACAGATTGCGATGATATTTTAAACTGTTAGTTTGCAGAATCAATTATACCATTAATTTATTCAATAGTTTGATATATTTTATATACCATATGATATGAAAAAATAAATTAACACTAAACCCATCGAGCAAAATAAAAACTATTGCATAAATCTTCGATGCAAGATTTTGGATATTGTTGTGAATTCGAGTTTTACTTCGAATTGATATTTATTTATCAATTTTATGTTTTTTGAAAAAAATAGATTTAATCTATTATATTATTATTCATTACGGTAGCTCGATTATCCAAATGTATGTTATTAGATTTAGTGTTAATCAGTATCTCAGTTTTTCGTAGTAGTATATTGATTCCTTTGAAACAAACAGTATTAACATAATTAATATTTATATATATATTTATAGAAAGTATAACAATAAATAACTTATAATAGAAATAAGTAATTAACAAGAGTTTAATATAAAAAACCTTTTTATATTGAATATCTAGAACTTTAAAGTTCTTTATGTGTAATTTATGACAAAACACCTAAAATTTAGTGCTTTACACTGATGTTAGGTAATTGTCTGATATATAATATATATGACGCAAGCTTCATAAAAGAATCGTCCACATGCTAGGTAAAATAAATCAAAATTCAATCAGTAGTCAATTTTAACACTATATTATATTTTCAAAAAACTGTATATATTTTCTGTCATCAAAGGCATTGCAAGAGTACGCGCCCGAAATCATTTGTATCTGGCTTCATATGCGAATAATTAGTATTAATAGTGTCTATAATTTTCAATTACACGTTAAAATCTCAAAACGTTTTTTTTTTTTTACAATAGCCAAAATGCTTCTGATCGCTTTCATGCTAATTTTTCGACCTGGATCAGAGGCAAGTCTGATTCGCGACAAAGGATCACTTACGGCTTAGTTTGGCTAAAACACCCTGTGATTAAATGATTCAATTTTTCAAGTTTTATTATTAAAAAGCCGCGGCATTTTAATCCCAAATATGCATAAAATAAAAACGCATTGGCAGCGGATCTATAAGTCATTTGTTTCGATAACTACATTGATTCGACCTGAAATATTTTACGAGTAAACATTTCAAAGATATATTTGTCTATTTTAAAAGGATGTTATAATTTTCTGGGTTAGGCCAAGAACACTCCAAGTCGATTCACAGAATGACTTGAGTTCGCTTAAGGCTTTATTTTAATGAGAGCGTCTACATGTGGCTCGGGAGGAGAGGAAATAATATTTATATATGACTAGATTGTTCAGAATAACATATACGTTTTGTATCTGTACCACTCTTTATACAAATTTCTACAGAAACACTTTGAAAATTCAAAATAACATCACTTATCAATACTACAATTATGAATCTGTAACTTAGCAATATTCATGTATTTATATAAATATGTTAATATGCACATATACGACACGCTGCATTACACGATTTTTGACTAGATTTTCTTGCATTTATGTGATGACAAACTCGATATAAATATTCATTGCCGTAATGTCTTTTATCAAACACTAGTTAAAGATATGAAAACATACTTTAGTTAAAAGATCTTGCAAATTAATGGCAATTTAAATTATATATGGAGTTTGTATCACAATTTAATCTCGATGGAACTATTCCCGGCTCACTACCGACAATGAGTCAAATCGCAAACATTTTTGTATAATATCTATTCGAATTATAATAATTATTTATACAGCAACACATTAAAAAATCTGAAGACAGTATATTAAAGAGTTCTTTTTTTATAAATATTTATATATAATTATCTATATGCAAATTCATTAAAATGGCGTAAATTCTTTTAATTTTTATTATATATGATAGATAAGTATGAATAAGAGAGCATGTATGATAGGATTTTTTTTTAATATTTTAAGAAAAAACTACGACTCCTTAAATAACAAGTCAATTTTTATACTTTTGATATATTATATATCAATATAGTTAAGTGTATGTATATAATATACGAATCATTTAGCTATCTAAGAGACGAATGGTCACTAATTGCGCATACTGGTTCCGGTGAAACGAAACTGACGATATTCAACCACTGAAAAGTCCATTTTTTGAATTATGCAAATCTAAATGTCCAAATACTTTATCGTTCCTGGGAAAATGTATGAGAATCATGCCAAAACTAATAATCAATTTTTAACTGTGTTGGTTTTTATAAAAAAAATCCGTAATATATGGCACTATGGGTATACGTATAGCAATTACATGTATGATGAACGATTTAATCAAGCGATGCCATATAAAATCTAAGTATGAAATGAGTAAAACTTGTGAGTACTTTGCGTACTAACCCTTTTGCTACCAGCTTTGCCTTTAGGCAACATCCACATGACTACCTTGTGTACGAGTGGACACAACTATTATTACTGGACGACATCCAGTGTGACAACCCTTTTTTTAAGATTTATCACTCAAAGTTGAGTTATTGGGAATTCTAATATGTTATTGTAATTTTTAGTTCTTTAGGTGTGCAATTTTTAAATTTGAAATACATTTTTATTGATCATTATTGAAAAATATGGAAATATGTACAGCTGGGCGGTTTGCTTTTCTGTACAGCAGTATCAGGGAGAACACTGCCGTAGCAAAAGAGTTAACTGTATATTGGTTACAAAAGAAAAAATATTATAAAATTTATTACGCTGATCCATTATGGCATATTTGATTAAACTTGATAAATAAAAATATACTAATATAAAATAATATTTCTTTGAATCTCGATCGCGTGCAAATAAAAGCTACGTCTTTGCATCTACGAGTTAATATGGCTTATTTAATACATCGTTACAATTAATTAAAAATTTGATATATGTTATTTCCGTGTAACGTATTAAATCTCTTACAGTTTGCTCACTTTTAACCTCGCGGCCCACAGAAATAAGCGTTTTGGACCTTTATTTTATATGATATATTTCAAAAAGTCTTAACTCACATATAAAATACATCGAGTTCCCGATCACAATTGCGCCTGGTTAACTGGGTCATTGGCAAAGATCAGTGATCAAAAATTCTCTATGTATAAAACAAATAAATACAAATTTTTGGCTATATTTCTTGGACTAGTAATGCAGTTTCGATATCTCCGTTCAGATTCTAAAGTGAATAAAAAACGCGCGTGACATTCTCTTCAGAGAGAGACACTAACTAAGCTTTTTCGTACTCGTGTATTTTCTGTTCTGACGTCTATTTTTGCTCTATCCATTCATCTCAATCTAATTCCATTGGAATATTTTATGTACGAAGTTAATTCATAAATATTTTTTGTATGGTCATCCTATCAAAGAGATAAAATATCTTTATATATTTATCATTAAACTAGAATTTTTTAATTATTATTAATACACTTTTAGTGGAGAACAGCCGCGACTGCGCTCGAAGTAGCATTTGTTTCGCTGAAAAAGAGAAAGAAAGTATAATTAATTGCGAATATATATATTAAATTCATCATGAAATATCATTTTATTAATATGTTAATCTCCATTACAGTCGTATGGGTCTGACGCTAGAAAGTTCTTCATGAGCTATGTCAGATATATATGCCTGATATACAAGTTTTGGTGGAAGGCCACGTCAATCACAGATGTCCGACGCATAACGTACATTTGCAGTATGTTTCGAAACCTTGGCCTATCAGCCAAAACACAGCTTGTCCAGAAAAAAAGTTAATATAAGGCCATGTCAGTCATATATGTGTTAAATAAAAAATAGTATTTTTCGCTTGTTCATCGAAAGATGGACATTCGAATCGAAAATTTTTGACAAATTTTCCTTTTTGATTTTTGCAAAAATAAAAAGGCATCTGAATTTCACAAAAGTTCTGCGGTGGTCATGGCGACAGAACCTTAAAAAAACGGAAGTGTCAAAATTGGTTTGCCCAAATTTGATCTGGCGATTTTTTAATCTTTAATAAGATGAAAAACTCTATGGTCGTGCAGAGCAGTTGTTTAAAAAAGAATTGTTTACTTTGAACTGTTATCACAAACTGAACAATCAATTGTGATGTGTACATTCATACATAAAATTCAATTGAAGAAAGCGGCATAAATTGGCAAATCAAAAAATCAACGTTCCGATTCCATTATTGATCACATATTTTTAGCCACTCGGTAAATTATATGGGGCATGGTTGGGATGTTTTGCCACATCTACCATATAGTCCTGGCCTTAATACCAATCTGATTACTTTTAGTTTTGATCGTTACAAAACTTCCTCAATTTTAAAAAGATCATTAATGATGGTGTCCAATTGTACCTGATTCAGTTTTTTGTTGATAAAAACCAGAAGTATTATAAAGAAAGAATAATGATGAATAATAATGAAGCCTGATAATTGACAAAAGTCAGTTATAAAAATGGGCAATAAAATACAAAATATTTAGTTTCATGAAAAAATATATGTTCGGACGTCTTTTCGTTTTATTATATTGGCCATGAAGGTGACAAACTTCAAGGCATTAAGCTTTACACGGAATGGTTGCTACCCCTGGTAGAGGGGGTAGCGGAGTGTTTTAATTGAACTAGTTGTTCATTTCAAAAAGTAAAGTACGCTTAACAACATATAAAAATAAATATATTTTCTTTCATTATAACTTAGTAACAAATCAGTGATTGTAATTAGAACTGCAACAAATACATAATATACAAACAAATCAGTGTTTAATACAGTCCACAGCTACAAGGGTTAAATTATAACCCAACAACCTGAATTATCGAAGGAGAGTTTTAATAAATTCTATAACTACGTAACATAAAGAGCAATATCTTTGATTTTCTAACAAAAATCCGCACTTACTTAGATGCCAACATTTACAAGATGTGACTATAAGTGTATTTTTAAAACTTTATTTTTATAAAGAGGACTTCGGTATCTTTATTTAGAATACCAATGATGTTTGATATTATTTAATTTCGAGTCAAGTAATTTTTTTCGAGTCTTACCGGAGTTTACTTATGGGCATAGTCAAACTGTCCCGTTCCGGAGGATCCCGTTCCGCTGCGGTGAAAATGCACGTTCTGCCATTTACTGTCACGTTTATGCCACACTCGCGTTTCTTCCGACTGTTGGCTGTGCGCTTGCCCTTGTCTAAACATTAATAGAAACATTATTAATAAAATGAAAAAATAATATAAAATATGATAAATCGTTGAATCATTTTATAAAGGAACCTCAATCAAAATATCACGCTTCTACTGCGCATGCCTGAAGAGAGGAGAGGCAACCATTTTTCGTTTTCCTTATATTAGGATAGTTAGTTGTTACTATAAAAAATGTACAGAACGATCAAATAAAAAGATTTTTTGTCATGTTATCTAATCTCTTGAAATTAATAACCATAACAGGAAATAATTTTGCATGCGTAATTTTACTCAACAATATATTTTTAATTGTATTATTGTCAAATTTATAATAACAACTTTATAAAAATGTATAATATTATTTATCAATATTGGGCTCATATAGGGCCCATATTGCATTGCCATTATTCCATGTTCTATATGAAAAAATGTTAACAGTATATATAATGTTAGGACAATATTGATAAACCATATAGAGCCGACATGAAAAACAATATTGGGCCACAATTTATTTCTACCAGGGAATTAAAGCTAATTTGACCAGCTTTTTGTAATTTATTCAATTTTATTCTGCAATTTGTATATATTAATACATTAAGCAGAGAATGCTGACAAATATATGGTAAAATGAAGTAGATTACAAATTAGTAGATGCCCCCAGTGGCGTATCTACAAAAGCTAATTACAATATGATAATAAAAAACTAAAAACAAAAGGAAAAAAAATAAATAAAATATAGCAAAATGAAAGTATATAGTTAATTATATATTAGGTCTTCAGGTATTTTTCTTTTAAGCCTGGTCGGCTGGCCTTCCAGATAGACAGACTTGGCTTGCCAATTGGTTAGGATGGACTATTCTGTTTTTATAATTAATGGCAACCATTGTTATTTGTTCTAGAATTGTATGTACGCTTGTGTCTTTGTGGATTATCCATGTTGGCATGGATTGAGAATAATAATACATAATTAAATAAAAAAGAGTTTACTAATTTTAGTATTTTGTTTTGTAACGATATTAAGGTTTGACGAAACCAGTTGACTAGATTGGGCATTATACAATTCGATTATTTATGTTAGGTACATTATGAATTTGCTTTAAACTAACATGACAAACATTCCACCAGGAATGAGATACTCAAGCATATTTAGAAATACACCAGTAGAAATGAATCGTGGCCAGATGGGGGCGCATTATTACCAATATTGTGCTCATATTGGCAGAAGTTAGCTTTGAATGAACTGGACAATATTCGTTTTAAAAATATTGAAAATATTTATATATAAAAAAACAGAAAGAGTGATGAGACTATTCTGCCGTACAACACCTGCCGACCAATGTTATGGCAAGGCCGTATTACGCTCCAACTTGCATGCATTATGCTACTGAATCATACTGAATACTGTCCAAATGTCATGTATTTGCTGTGCAGTCAGGCGTTTTACACATAAATTGCAACGTCACTTGTATGTTATGAAGCTGGGTCAGAAATACCCAGTTATCTAAGATCGTTTTTTTTTTTGACATTTGTGCGGTTTCTAGTTTAGGTTTTCTATATGATAGCCTGAGAAAAACGCCTGACTGCAAAGCAACCACATGGCTTTTGTCAATATTTAGTATGGAAAGTTCTTCATAACACAGCCTTGCCATAACATTGATCTGTTGTGCGAGAGAATCGGCCAATGAGTATACAAAAAGTCCAAAAAAACTTGTTAGATCAAATTTACAATGGAGGAATTAGAAAAATAATTTGCAAGTCTACTAATAAGTAAAATTCAACTGTATCTTCTGTTTTTACTCATTTTTACCATAATCGCTGCAAAGAGCTACATCACTGGAAGTAGTTCATATCTTTTTTGTACTTCATAAACAATTGATTCAATATCTTATGTATATTATAATGAAGCAAAAAAGCTTATCAATCAATAACATTATCCAACTTGCAACTTTCTACAATAACAAAGCTTATTTTCATATTGATTACAAAAATGAAAATACAGAAACGTACGTTAATGTTTGGTCTTTGATTAGAACATATAACTGAAAACAAACAAATGCGCAATTAAATGTTTAATGTAAAGTATTGTTTTTAATAACAATAAAATAAAATAACGTACTTATCGATGTACTGCGTCAGTCGCACATAGGCGATGCAAGCGGCGTCGTCGCCCAGGAGGTGCACATGCGGATTCAGTATGGTCGTGTTCACAGCTTTACAATTCTTGCCCAGGACTAATCATTTTATCAAATTAATAAATTAAATTTTTAACATGTTCCAAATATTACAAATAGGACAGGGCGAGACACAAAGGTTTAATTTAAATTTCATGGCAACACATAACATTTACCACACAAACAACTGTCGAACTATGTTGAGTCAGATTCTCAGTTAACTCCAAATTATAGAAATGTTTTTTTTTTTAAGTAAAACTTCTTTAGGCGCGACTAGGATGTAAATCCGTACAAATGCAACGGAAGTGCATTACGGCCGAGTCGAGTGCCAATGATTCGTCATTCGCTCTCGATGATATCATTTCTATACGGGTAGATTGTGATTAGTCGTCGTGTATGTGCATAGAAATCTGTCGTTGTATGCGTGCCGATATAAACAAGGAAATCGGCATAGATAAACATTATAAAGTTACATCGTAGTACAAATCTTGATTCAATGAAAAATACCTAAATTAGAAAAGTATTTTACCCTGTTCCTTGAAAATAATAAAACAAATTAAACATTTGTACCGAATCTTTGAAGTTATTAAAATTAAAAATATTTTTTAGGCAAGACAGATATCACAGCTGTTTAAAGAATGAGATTATATCGCCAGCGAAAAAGTAAAAAAAATACAAGCAGTCAATGAATGTATGTTAATTTTAATTACATGAAGTTCTTCAAACACAATTACATAATGAGTGAAGTTGCGAAAATAATATTTGTTTCGGCGTTGTTTAACATATTTCACTGTGTGAACGAATATTATAGAAGTTATTAATCAGCAATTATTTTATTTCTCTAATGAAGGTTCAAGTCCTAAATGCTAATTACAATGACAAACCGATCATGTCATATTTAAAGTGTGACTTCAATTACATTATTGTTTTTAAATATTATACATATTTTCAATGCTATCATAAATATATAATTTATAATTTATCATCATATAAATGTATATAATGGTTGACACTTATAAATGTGTGCATCACGAGTGTTACCATATTACTAAAAAGCATTATTCAAAATTGTTATATGATGTATTTATTTTTACTTATATGCCATGTTGTACAGTAGCAAATAGATTTTACTTCAATCGCGTTTGAACCATACGCGCACTCTTTTTTATAATTAGGAATTAACAGGGAATTTTACTGAACATAGTTCGATAGTTGTTTGTTTGATACGTTTCATGTTTTGTGATATAGTTCATTTGGTTCAGGCATAATTACTGAAAGTCATATTGGACCTTTGTGCCCCGCCCTACTTATAGGTGTATGTTTGTTAAATATAGCTCATATTATATCTCAATGTTAAAAAATAAATTAATTCAAATGCATAAACTTTTTATATCCTACCGTTCTCGAAATAGAATTTGTGGAAGTCCATTCCTTCAACTAAATTGCCTAGCGCTTCAGGCTCGAATGCCGTCAGATGAGGATCACAGATTTTGCTATATTTTAAAATGAAAATTATTAAAATATTCTACAAATTATTTTTTTTTTATGATTAAAAATCAAAATTAAACTTATTAGATATCCAATATATTTGTGATAAAAAATGATAATTTCTAATAATTCTATTACTCACGTGTAAGCGTCGAAATCACCGTTGTTAATAGCTTCGATCAGTTGCTCCGTCATTTTGACAATTTCTTGGCGCCGAGCTGCGGGATATTAAATTATCATAAATTCAGACCATAAAAATTTTATTTCAATGAAAATCAATGACAAACTCAAAACAAAACCAATAATTTCATGTACTAAATTGTTAGTCAAATATCTATTCATAAACTATTTGAAATAGCCTTATCGTGTTAGTTACACCACCTCAACCACTTTGTTCAGTTTTGGATGAATGAACGGTTAGTCAGCCTTTTAGTACCATTATTAGAATGATGTTTTAATCGTGAATGTTTTTCTCAGACTGAAAAAGACTAATTGTAAGACTAAGTAATTAGTCATGGTTTAGACAATTTCATTTAAATAACCGTAAAGGAAAATAAGAGTTTTTAAAATATTTTATAGTGGTTCATAAAAAAACAAACACTTTATACAAGTACTTCGACGATATGACATCTAGTTCCTAAATTCTTGAATGATTCACATTGATTTCAGTATCCTTAATTTTAATAAAATGTTTCCAAATTGCTTATGAAGAAAAGCAGAAACAATTGTGAATTCAAATATTTCAAACTAAAATTACCTTTTTATTACTAATAAATACTTAAATAAATTGCAAATTACAAGTTGTATTTTCTTCGTAAGACTTCTGCGAAAACTTTCTTCGGTTACATGCACAAATTTAAATTTTCAAGTAATTTTTTCTTGAAGAATTTCTGCTTGAAAAATCTACCCAATTTCAAACATTTATGATGAAAAAAAATTAAATTTAAAACCATGATTTAAAAATTATATGCAATTAAATTTGAATATAATATATTAAATAAATGTAAATATAGAAACATATCGTGTTTTCGGATTTGGTATATATGAAATATTTAATTTAAGCAGTTCATGTTTCATAAATCCCAACAAAATATTTTGTTTCAATAAAAATATTTCGTTCGATCGAATATATATTAAAATTATGGAATAATAATAAATGTGATCACACAAATTAAATAGATAAAACTTTATATTCGAATATTTAAATTTCAATATTGCGTTTTTGTTAATATATATTTTTTTCACAATATCAGAAATTAATATGGAATTGGCGTAATACTAATAACTACATTTAAAAACGGTTTTGAATAACTAACAAAAATCGTTTGAATACGTACAATTTTTTTTTAAATAAAATGTTAATGTTTTATTTTTTTTTAGTAAAATTAAAAAAATACTGATTTATTGAAGTAATCAAATACTTTTTTGAAAATGACAAAAATTATTTAAATATGCTAGATATATATAAAATCCCTATTGCATACATACTGTATACTATAGTCGTCGAATAGTAATATTAAAAGCCAAATAAACAACGTTGAATAACTAAGACCATTGATAAAAATCTACGAATGATAGATAGAATAATATTAATTTAAATACAAATCATTTGCTCAAATTTAGAACCATTATAAAATATTATGATTAACCACAACGACGTCATTTAAAAAATATATATCAAAATTAGTAACATTAAAATGTACAATTAAAACAGTCCGAGATAAACATCAGACATATAATTTCTACCGGGGAATATTTACAAAACATTCATATCTAATATTTATAGAATGGACCACAATAACAGAGGATGATGGGTACATTTAACCAGGTTAAATCAAATCATATCAGTCATATGCATAAAATAGCAGCTAGTTTATATACAAATTTCATCATAAAAATTATTGTGATATTGTCGACCTTTTCAAAAATGCATTGGTGTAGTGGCTCGGCGCAGAAAATAGAAAAAAACGTGTAAAAAATTATTTACACAAAATAAAATTATCTAGTCCAAAATCCCAATGCAATAATCTGACGTATTAATATAGGTGATGCAAATAATGCTATTTTTGATAAAATATTTGTTGTGCATGTGTGTAACTAAACTAATGATCTATGCATACATGCCTACATACATACATACATATACACACATACATGTATACACTCATATATACATATATACATACATACGATAATATACTTAAATATATCTAGTGAGTTTGTTTGTAACCATATTAGCGCCAATTGCAAGTACAATTCATTAAAATATATCGAATCACTATCAAAAATTTTTAAAATAAATTGTTTCATTTAAAGTGGAAGCATTTGTTTCTAAAAAAATATGTGAAAAAACATTATTATTTATTTCCATTTCGGTTAAAATTTATTTTGGTTCAAGGAGCTCTTTTTTGGAGTACAAAATTGGGTTACCCGCTGCCACCACTTTAAAAGGATCGCCCATATACAAATTTCACGTGTATTTCCTCACGAAACCATAAATTATATGACAAGCAAGTGCAATTTTTCAATTTTTTATTAATTTTTCAATCTTCCAATTGACGATAATGTGGTTTATTGCGAAATTCTAGCATCCTTGCGTTACCTGAGCACTGAGAATTAGTAGACAGTTGGGAACAAGTCTTGCTCGGGCACACAATCCTTAATTCTACAAACGCAAAATACATGTAGCGAATTTTTAAATTAAAAATAACATTTGGAGACAATTGGAAATTGACTCATTTTTTCAGAAAGTCTATTATCTTCCATAATTAAAAGAATTAAAATTAAGATCCAAACATAATTAGATCCTCATAAAAATAAAACATCTGATAAAAAAAAGAAATCTAAAAATTTTAAATTAAATGTTATTTGGTCATATTCGTATTTTTGAATCAATAAATTTATAGAAAACAAATAATTTTAAATTTGTAATAAAAATAATTTGTACATATGTTAAATCTTGAGTGAAAAATAATAATTTAAGGATTAAAATTAGAATAAAATTAAAATCCCAACATAATTAGTAGTTCCTCATGAAAATAAAACATCTGATAAAAAAAAATCTAAAAATGTTGAGTTAAATGTTATTCTGTTAAATCCGTACTTTTAAATCAATAAATTTATAGAAAACAAATAATCATTTTTAATTTATAATAAGAATAATTAGTTTATATGTTAAATCTTGAGTGAGAAATAATAATTTAAGTATTCAAATTATATTAAAATTAAAATCCAAACATAATAAGTAGTTCCACATAAAAATAAAACATCTGATAAAAAAATATAAAAATTTTGAATTAAATGTTATTCTATCACATCCGTATTTTTAAATCAATAAATTTATAGGAAAAAAATGATAATTTTTAATTTGCGATAAGAATAATTTGCATATATGTTAAATCTTGAGTAAAAATAATAATTTAAGGATTAAAATTAAAATCCAAACATAATTAGAAGTTCCTCAAAAAAAAAAATCTAAAAATTTAAATTAAATGTTATTCTGTCTCATTTAAATCAATAGTATTTTTAAATCAATAAATTTATAGAAAACAAATGATAATTTTTAATTAGTAATAAGAATAAATTGTATATGTGTTAAATCTTGAGTAAAAAATAATAATTTCAAATGATTTAAATGATAATAATTTCTATGATTGTAACTACGTTTGCGATTTGTAGCACAAAAAAATTAATCATAATGTAAAATTAACTTCTTAATTGTACTTTTGTAATTGTAAATTAAAAAAAATCATGAAATAATTTATGTAAAATACTAATACTACTCACAAATTTTTAAACGCTTTATAAAAACTTATTTTTGATAATTAATGTAAAAATATTATAAGCTAAAAAGAATTTGATACTATTTTAGTTTGTGCTCAATGATTGTCTCTATTGTCTTTCTATGCAAACTAAAAAACATGATGAACTGTTATTTGTTATATTCGTAAATTTAAAATAAAAAACTATAAATATTTAATTTCAAATAAAATCAAAGTACAAGATGAGTACTAAAAAAAACAAAATAAAAAAAAAAGTTCAAAGAGTATTATTTAGAATTTTTCCTTTACTTCAAAAAGATGGTTCTGCATCACATGAACACTCTCAAACTAATAATATGTACTTTATAAAATTTTTTTCTAAACTATTATTATTTTTTATATTTAATACATGCAAATTAATACAATTCAGTAAGTAATTATTTTTATTTTTGCAATACAAAAAATGTTCCAAAATGTTGAGAGCTTGTGATGCACAACCGCTATTTTCATGAAATATCGATTTGACTTAAGATTTGTGCTTCGTGTCATTCTGTGAAAAGGTCACGACCCTTTCAGAGAATAATATATATATATATATATATATATATATATATATACATATATATTATGTACACACATATAATAAGCCAACGATTTCATACGGCAAGAAACTTACAAGTAGTCAAATAATCTTGCATATTTTATCTCATGTAAAATATTTTAATTATATTGATAATTTGATGATCTACTCTCTTAAGTTTCTTAATCCATTTAATATTAAAAATTAAGTCACTTAGCTGTTCAGTACCCGAGCTGACAAATCGTCATATTTATAAATAATTCGAAAAATTCAGTGCGTGAAGGATGCTAATCATGTACGTTATTTAATATTTTATATTACATGCACTCTTAATAAAATATAAAATAATTTTATAGACATAAATGTTGTATTGAGAAGTTCAAATAATAATTTTATGTGTAAATAGACGTTTTAACTAGCATAATAAGATTGGCCTAATTATATATTCTTACAAAAATTTCGTTGGCTTCATTAACTTCATACCTATATCATGTATATATATTTCAACACGTTTTGACTACCGAGGAAAACTCGTGCATTTCTCGCATAGTATTTTGATGAAACTAGGCATAATGGTTGATTTTATACCCAAACTGATCGATGTAAAATATTAGAGGCCTAGGAAAAGCGGTATCAACTATAAAGATTAATTACAGTTTGCATTTTAGCAGCGCGTAATATACATATAGCTTGCGATAAAATTCTGTATAGCACTGCTAAACTACACACTATATTTTTGAAGTAAAACTTTTTTAGGCGCGACTAGGGTGTAAATCCGTACAAATGCAACGTTACGGCATAGTCGAGTGCCAATGATTCGTCATTCGCTCTCGATGATATCATTTCTATACGGGTCGATTATGATTAGTCGTCGCGTATGTGAATAGAGATCTGTCGTTGTATGCGTACCAAAATTAACGTTGTATGCCTACCGATATCAACAAGAAAATCGGCATAGATAAATAAACATTTTAAAGTTACATCGTAGTACAAATCTTGATTTAATGAAAAATGCCTGAATCAGAAGAATATTTTACTCTGTTCCTTGAAAATAATAAACGAATGAAATTAATAATAAAACTAGCTGTAAGTGGAATTCTGTCTTAAGGCAATTAGGGCATCGTGCCTTAAGGCAAATTGCTGGAACTTCCCGTACCAAAAATTATTATTTTTTTTAAAAACGATTAACATTTTTGAAAAAAATTTACTTCGAAAGAATAAGATTTTTGAGAAACTATAAATTGGACAAAAAATTACTTTTTTTTGAAAAAAAAAAATTTTTTTTTTAATTGTTTTAAAAAAAAAAAATTTGTTTAATTTTTTTTTTTCGAAAAAAAATGTTTTCTTTATTTTGACATATTTTGGAAGATCTGAACTTGTTTTTCAAAGCAATCGTACTGCTTTAACTGCATAGAGACAAAATATAAAGCGCGTAAGCGCGGCGTCGCTGTCGAACGGGTAAACATTGGTACGGAACCCATAGAAAAATAAACAAAATTTAAACTTATTATTAAAATCTCTATAAAATATCTGAAAATTTGATGTGCATATGTCTAATGATCATTTTTGACCGCCAAATGGCATTTTTTTTACTTTTTTTGTTAGATCTCCGAAACCGCTAGACCTGCCTTTATGAAAATTTGATCAATTCTTTATCTTGTCAATACAAGTAAAATGTTTTTTGAATTATTAAAATCGGACGCTCCGTTCTCTTAAAACCTGAGTTACCGTTTTCGGCACTTTTTGCCCCGTATCTCCGGAACGGCTAGACCTGCCTTCGCCAAAAACTAATCAGCACGTCTCCTTATCAATACAAATCGAATGTTTTTTGATTTATTCAAATCGGTTGATCCGTGTTCCCGAAATCGTCGACGAAAATTTGTATCCGCACATACATACACACACATACATACATACATACACACACACACACACACACATACACACACACACACACCCACACACACATACATCCATTTTTTCTAAGGTATGCCAAAATGTTCAGAAACCTCTGAAACGTAAAGATATATAAAAATTTTCATTTTCGATTTTTTTGCGATTACTATAACTTACCCTACGGGAAGTTAAAAATTAATTAAACAATTAAACGTAAGTTTCTTGATTAGAAATTATTTCTATATTATTCGTAGTTTCTATAAATCTTTGAAATTATTAAAATGGAAAATATTTTTTAGGCAAGACAGATATTACAGTTGTTCAAAGAATGAGATTATATCGCCAGCGAAAAAATTAAAAGAAATACAAGCTGTCAATGAATGTATGTTAATTTTAATTACATGAAGTTATTCGAACACAATTACATGATGAGTGAAGTTGCAAAAACAATATTTCTTTAGGCGTCGTTTAACATAATCCACTGTGTGAACGGATATTATAGAATTTATTAATCAGCAATTACTTCGTTTCTCTAATGAAGGTTCATTTCTAAATGCTTATTACAATGACAAACCGATCATGTCATATTTGAAGTATGACTTTAATTACATTATTGTTTTTAAACATTATACATGATTTTAATGCTATTATAAATATAAAATTTATATTTTATTATTATATAAATGTGTATAATGGTTGACACTAAAAATGATGTGCATCACGAGTGTTACCATATTACTAATGAGCATTAATCAAAATTGTTATATGATGTATTTATTTTTACTTAAATTTGCTACTTTGTATAGTAGCAAATAAGTTTTACTTCAATCGCGTGTGATCCTTACGCACACTCTTTTTTATAATAAAACCGCTTTCCATAGCCCTGTAATATTTTACGCCGATCATGTTAGATAAATACAATCTACCATTGTGCTAAGTTTCATCAAAATCCCAGACGAGCAACTCGCAGGTTCTCCTTGTAAGTTTCTAGTCTTCCACTAAAAATCGAGATATCCACTTGAATTCAACATGTTGTATAAACGATGTATTAAAATAAAAACAACTGAAACAACACTCAATATCAATCAGTCATTTTTTCGCCAGTTGGAATTACAGGCGGCAGAAACTTTTCGTACACCACATGCCCATTGATTATTATCCGCAACGAAATCGCCACACCAGACACACACAAGATTAATGACTTAATATAAATTCAGTCTGAATTATTTAACTCGGCATACTTATTCTATTTATATATAATCAAATCCATTTACCGCCATAGGGTTGTAAAATACCCAGCCTAAGTAAGGTGGTAAAATTACACTCGTTTACCAAGTCGGCCAAATAATAAACACAAAATAAGTTGCTACTAAAAAACAATATAAAAAATATAAATATAATGATATGAATGATTGCTAATTTTCTGCT